TCTTGGGATCATGCAGGACAAGGTAATCACCCATGTGAGCCCACCCTGCCCAAGGAATACGTGACTCGGCGGTACCTACCGAGAGTTGGGTGGCCAACATTCTGGGGCGTCCAGAAGCATAACAAAACATATCATTTGAGGGGCCCTTCTTCACCGCCTGCACAGAGAGAGCGTTAGCAAAACCAATCCTGCACTTGACTTGGCAATGGTCCGCCAGTCCTTGAGGAAGGTTGGCAGAAGCAAAAGGTAAATCGTGGTCCTGACCTAAGCTAAGTGCTTCGACCAAAGAGGTGGCCTGCAAGGGTTGCCTGGTGCATCTGTCGCCAAAATTCATTTGCCTTCATGGATTGTTCAAAACTGGCACCTTTCCTCGCAACCGAGGTTTTCCGAGCCACTCCCATTCGGCGACAAGGGGATCAGAAAACTATTCCTCCCCCTCCTCTCAACAGCAACAACGAGGGGAGGCAACCACACCCCAAATGGCAAGAGCCGCGAGGGATTTGACCAACTCATTGAGAAGGTTCTCGTCATGAAACCTGACATGGCAAAATGCGCACCGGGAAAGCCCGAGACGGGGGATTTGTCGAAGACCCTCCGGACCCATCAGTATACACGATAAGGCAAGGTTGTTCGCGAGACCTGTGAGGTCACCATGGAACATTCTGGAGGAAGAAGGCGGTGGAGATGAGACGACGTTGCTCGTGCGCTCACCGATCTTGAGTAAGCTGGATCTCCCAGGGAACCCTACATGCCTCCGCTAGGGCGCGCACGTTATGCCCCAGCGTGCGAAATAGATGCTGCCCACTTCCGCCCAAGCGATCCACCTCCTGAGCCGTGGGACTGGGCGGTGGCGTTGCCCCGGCAGCCCTGCGGGCTGGACGGGAGCTGCTTCCACCGAGCCGGCGGCCTCTCCGGACACTGTGTGGGGAGCGTGAAGCTCCGCCGCTCGTGGCATCTGACTGAGGCGCTCCAGGCCCACGAAATCTCCTCCTCCTCCTCCTCCTCCTCCTCCTCCTCCTCCTCCTCCTCCTCCGCCCTCTTCTCCTCCTCCTCCTCCTCCTCCTCCTCCTCCTCCTCCTCCTCCTCCTCCTCCCTATCGTGCGAAATAGATGCTGCCCACTTCCGCCCAAGCGATCCATCTCCTGAGCCGTGGGACTGGGCGGTGGCGTGACGCCTGCAGCCCTGCGGGCTGGACGGGAGCTGCTTCCGCCGAGCCGGCAGCCTCTCCGGACCTGCGTGGGGAGCGTGCAGCTCCGCCGCTCGCGGCATCCGACGGAGGCGCTCCAGGCCCACGAGGAACAGGAGGGGGAGGAGGAGGAGGAGGAGGAGGAGGAGGAGGAGGAGGAGGAGGAGGAGGAGGAGGAGGAGGAGGAGGAGGAGGAGGAGGAGGAGGGGGAGGGGGAGGAGGAGGAGGAGGAGGATTTTTCCAGGCGCTTGAGCGGCAGCTGTCCCCGCCGCTGCCGACACAGCAGCAGAAGCAGGCACCTGGGCGGCAGCTGTCCCCGCGGCCGCCGGCCCAGGTCGGCCCTGGTCGGGTAGCCGCAACTGGAGCTTCGTGGCGAGCACTGACACCTGCTAATTATCTGCTGTCTGAGAGTCGCAGCGTGGGCATTCATGCTGGACTGGTACGCCGTCAACGCCGATGTGATGGACGAGAGCTAATGCTGGAGCGCGGCAAAGTCGGGAACCGGCTGTGGCTGCAGGGGCACTGCATGCTGTCGCGCCGCAGCCGCCTGACACCTCGAGCTCTTGGAGGCGGTTCTCCTCGTGACTCTCCTCACATTGGTTGAGGGCGCTGGTGAAGGCCAACAGGAAATGGAACGTCTGCAGCGGGCTCTCCTGGATCCTCAAAACGCAGATCTGGACGTTCTTCCGCTATCCCATGGAGTGCATGAGGGTGCCTCTCCACCCATTCCTCCGTCGAGTTTCGCTTTTGTCTGAGATTCTCCAACTCCGCCTCCATTTTCCCGATTCAATTGACAAGATGGTTGAAACGCGCCTGAGGCCGAGTGGCCTGTCTGTCGTATTGCTCCTGCTTCGGGGGCGACACAGGTGAAGGGCCGTGAGGATTTCACTGAAGCAGTCTTTTTCGTCATCCGGACCGTCGTTGCTGACGACTTCCATGCGAATGGAAGCTGCCAGCGTATTGAGCTCATGCCGCCTCTTTGCAGTAGACTGCTTCCTTTCTGCGGTCGTAGCATCGTCTGCGAGGTCGCCAGGGTATCTGAGGTGCACCCGAGCAACACGAGGAAGGGGAGGCAAGATACCAAGGGGCTGATGTGACTCTTCCTCCGCTTCCTCGTCCTTTACGAATACACACTGTTCTTTTCTAATTCTTCGCAAGTTCTTTGATTTTTTGGGGGACAAGATCCTTTCATTTCTAATTGTTCTATCCTGGGCCTCTTCCTGGCCACTATGGGGCCAGGAACAATTAGAAACGAGCACAAGTAGAAATGAGCACGATTAGAAATGAACGACGTGCAGACTGTGGGGCTGGCAGCTCGCCTCGCGGCGCCACGCGGTCGTCGGGGCTGACCGGCGGCCTGCTCTCCCGTCGGCGCACCCTGGGGAACCCACGGATCCCTCACGAAGCTATCCGGGCTGCCCTTGCTCGAATCCTTGCCACCACGACGTGGCTTACGGTGGGCGGGGCCCAGGATGCTCCTTGCGCGCAGCAGAGCACGAAGGGCAGGTATAGCCTTTTGACGAGACTTGGCGCGGCACGTTCGGACAAAAATCCGATGTGCTCATCGACTGAGATGGGGCGATGTAAATGGAGCCGTCATGGAGCTTCTGGCAATCTGGCAGGGACTCCTGCATCTGACATTCTGTCACGTGCAGCTGCCACTCGGATCGACCGCCTGTCGTCTGCACGAATGTGTCGTTCGCGGCGGCATGTCGCCTGAGGACGTGTGGATCGTGGTTGGCCGCAGGGGCGGCCGGCACGCTAGGCTCTGAAAGGATGTAGAGTGTTGGGGAACGGCTGTGCAGTGATGTGAAGAGAAAAGCTTGCGCCCCGCCTCGTCAACCGCTCAGTGGGACCCAGACGGGAATCGGGGAATCACGGGCCAGAGCCTTAAGGATGAAGAAGGAGGAATGAGGAGGAGGTGGAGGAGGAGGAGGAGGAGGACGAGGAGGAGGAGGAGGAGGAGGAGGAGGGGAAGGAGGATGATGAGGAAGCGGAGAAGGAGGGGGGAAGGAAGGAGGATAGAGGACAAAGGCAGGACGACGAGGAGGAGGAGGAGGAGAAGGAGGGATGGAGGGGGACGGATGAACACGAGAATGTGGATGCGGATGATAATGATGATTATGATGCTGTTGATGATGATGATGATGGTGGTGCTGATGATGACGACGATCATGATGATGGTGGTGATGGTGGTGGTGATGATGATGGTGGTGAAGGTGCTTCTTATGCTGATGCTGATGATGATGATGGTGTCGATGATGATGATGACTATGTTGTTGTTCATGATGATTGTGGTTATGCGGGTGATGGCGATTATGCTGATGATAATGCTGCTGATGATGGCAATAACGACGAGAGTGATGATCATATTGCTGATGCTGATGATGCTTATGGTGGTGTGTGTGATGATGCTGATGGTGGTGAGATGATGTTGATGGTGCTGGTGATGGCAATTAGGATGCTGATAATAGTTATGTTGTGGATGGTGATTATGAGTAGGATGAAGTTGCTGATGATGATGTTGATGATGCTAAGGATTATGTTGACGCTGGTGCTGGTGCTGCCGATGGTGATGGTGATGATCATATTGACGACGATGGCGACGACGGCGATGCAGCTGATGATGATGGTGATGATGATGGCGGTGATGGTGATGATGATGATGGTGGTGGTAATGCTAGTGAGGATGATGATGCAGCTGTCGCTATTGTCGGTGATTAGTTTTGGGGAGCTGCTGATGTTGCTGATTCTGTGCTTGGTTGCTGTTGGTGGTGATGATGATGGTGGTGATGGTGATGTTGCTGATGGTGATGATGATGACGAAGATGATGATGCTGATGTTTATGATGCCAGCGATAAAGGTAGTGATGATGACGGTGGTGATGATGATGTCGATGATGGTGACGATTACGATGGTGGTGCCACGTACGACAATGATTATGATGATGCTGACGATGACGATGACCATGATGATGCTTATGATGATGAGGATAATGATGGTGATAATGACGATGGTGATGATGACGATGCTGTTGATGATGATGATGCTGATGATGATCATGTTGATGCTGATGATGACGATGGTGATGTTGATGGTGATGGTGGTGATGATGCTGATGACGACGGGGAACAGGAGGATGAGGATGATGATGAGGAGGAGAGTGGTGATGAGTATGATGACGAGGATTTTGGCGATTTGGGTGAACCTGATGACGACGCTGGGGGGAATGAGGGTGAGGGCGTTGACGATGTGCCTGATGCTTTGTTTTGACTGCGAAGGGCTGTGATGGCACCAGACTGACACCCAGGCGTTTGGTGCACGCGAAACATGTCCGTCAATGCTTGACGCATGGCGGCGCAGCACTGGCAACGTCGGCGTTCGACCTCATTGAGCTTCTGCGTTGTCCAGAGAGGGATGGGTGGGCCAAGGCAGAGGATTCGGATTTTGATCATGGTGACGGTGAGAAGGAGGAGCAGGCGGAGGAGGAAGAGGAATCTTTGGAGTAGGAGCAGCTTCTCTTCCTCGTTACCCGTTGTCCTCCCGCCCTTACCCCCTCCCCCCAACCCACTTCCCTTCTCGTCCCTCCTTGGGCCCGCACCCCTCCCCGTCCCCTCTCCCTCTGGCTTCCATTGGCTTCTGAAAGCGTCCATTGGCTTCCGAAAGCGCCTGGAACAGGCAACGAATCCCCTGATTGACGTACTGTGCCCCTCCGGAAGATGAGCACCATCGTGTGACTTCGTCGGAGACCACCCGAACGCTTCTGGGAGCTTCCGAGCATAACCGAAGAGAAAGATGGCACGGGCTCGGCAGGTGCACACATCCCAGAAGTGGTACCAGAAGCAAGACCAGGAGAGGACAACCTTCCTACAGTCCGACGCCTACCTGACGCTGAAGGAGACGGCGGATGCCATAGGCACCACTCCGCCCTTTCCCCACATAGTTAGATATAAATGGAGATGAGGAGAGAAAGAGAGAGAGAGAGGCAGAAAGAGGGAGAGAGAGAGAGAGAGACAACGAGTGCAAGCGAGAGAGAGAGAGAGAGAGCATGCCAGGTCGGATCTCATTCTCGACGAATCGGAGGGCTGATCTCCTGCCCACGGCGAAGGCCCTGCCCTCAGGGGGCGGAAGAAACACGAGGACGGCGTCTGCCAGCGGATGTGGACGGAATGAGAGGACGACGCCCCGGCCTGCCCTAAGTACACTTCTGGGGTTGTCACAAGGAGGAGTTGTTGGAATGGGATCCAGGAGGAGGAGAAGGCAGCAGCATGAGGAGGCAGAGGACGAGGAGGAGGAGGAGGAGGACGACGACGCAGGAGACGTGTCAACGCCAGCGTACGCGGGGCTTCGAGGCTATGCTTGGCCACAAGATGCAGTGGCAGGTGGCGGCAGCGGAGGAGCTGCAGGCGGAGAGGGGAGGAGAAGCATTGCAGCTCCAGCAGCAGGAGCAGGCGGCCGAGAGTGATGATAACGGTGTGCTGGGAGGAAGGGGGCAGAGGAGTCACGGCAGCACGAGCAGCGGGACGACAGGAGCAGGGCGAGATTGAGGAGGATGAGGATGACCAGTGCGAGGAACAGAAAGAGCAGGCGGAGGAGGAGGAGGAGGAGGATGAGGAGGAGGAGAGGAGGAAAGGAGGAGGAGGAGGAGGAGGGGGAGGAGGAGGAGGAGGAGGAGGAGGAGGAGGAGGAGGAGAGGAGGAGGAGGAGGAGGAGGAGGAGGGGGAGGAGGAGGAGGAGGAGGAGGAGGAGGAGGAGGAGGAGGAGTAGCAGCAGGAGGAGGAGGAGGAGGAGGACAGTCTCGAGCAGAAGCGGCAGTAGCCTTAGCAGGAGAAAGCAGCCGCTGAAGAGGAGGAGCAGGAAAGGGAAAGTGATGAGGCAGAGGTTGTGGTGACCGTCTCGTCCAAGGGCGCTCCAGGCCGCCACCTCCCATGACTTGCACCTCGCTGCGCTGATTCGCCACAGGGCGGTGCTTACCGAGCGCTCCTGGCCCTTGTCCCAGCTGACACTTGCTCATGCTCCATCTCTATCTCTCGTGCTCGTGCTGCTGGTCCTGCCCCTGCTCCTGCCCCTTGTCGTCGTCGTCGTCCTCCTCCTCCTCCTCCTGATTTGTCCTCGTCCTCTCCCGCTCCTCCTTCTCCTCATCGTGAGGATGATGAGGCGTGGAGGAGAGGGAGGGGGGCGACGAGAGGAAGCCGTCTCCCTGTTGCCCCCCCCAGCCGGAATCTCCCTCGCCTCGCCTCCTCCCTCTCAGTGGCCACTCTGGCCCAGGCTGCTCTGCAGTCGGGGGGGCCCTCCTCTGCCCTCGACGACGCCTTCGGCGACGGCGACGACGACGACGACGCAGACGGCTCGGTGCGGGCGGGACTGGCGGGCGGAGGGAATCCGGAGGTGGGCTCGGACGGCCCGCGTTCCCGACCTGGTGCCGCCGCCGAGGCAGGGGCCCCGCATGATAGGCCAATTTCCCGCCACCACTACCACATGTAGGACGGGGGAGAAATGGAGGGCTGGGAGGTCCTCTTCCTCCTCTTCCTCCTCCCTCTCCTACCTATGGTAGTGGTGGTGGAGCATCGGCCCATCACCGCACGGCGCACCGCGGCATGGCGCAAGGCTCGACGGCGGGTGGCCCGGTCGCGGGGGGCCACGTCAAGGGGGGGGCGAGGGGGGGGGCAGGGCTCCCGGGACCGCGGCACGGCGGAAGGCTCGACGGCGGGCGCGGCGCGGTCGCCGGGGGCCACGTCGGGAGTGGGACAGGCTCAGGCCCTAGGGGGGATAGGGGGCGGCTCGAGGGGTGGGCCCGCCGCGCAGTGGCGGGATGCCCTGAGGCCCCCAAGGCCTCTCAGGGCATGGGCTCTGCCCCCCTCTCGAGGCCTCCCCGCCGGCACGTGCGCGGGCTGCGCCGCCACGCGGCCCGCGCGGCCCAGCGCAGAGCGGGGGCAAGGCCAGGGGGATGGGCTCCAGAGGGGGGGGACGCATGGACCCCCCGGCCGCCCACTCCTCGCGGATGGGCGCCCGACAGCGCGCCCCGCCCAGGAGCTCGTCGCGGATGGGTGCCCGACAGCGCGCTCCGCCGAGGAGCGTGCGGGTGCGCTATCGGGGGCCTGTCGCCGATCCACCGGCGAAAGCATCATGGCGCCAGCATCTCAGAGAGGGTTTCGTTCGGAAAACGATGGGATGGGCCCGGGTTGTCCTGGAGAGTTTCGCCCGGAATTTCGACGCGAATTTCGTGCGGATCTTCGGGCCAGCAATGACAACTACGAAACGTCCACGTGAAATGCACTTTCCGTTTCTCGCTCGCCGGTTCGGGGTATTTCGC